TATGGGAACTCCTTTGTAGGTAACTGTCTTTCCTCTTGCTGCTTCTAAGATTCTCCCCTTATCTTTAATGTTGGCTAATGTAATTATGATGTGCCTTGGTGTGTTCCTCCTTGGGTCCAGCTTCTTTGGGACTCTCTGAGCTTCCTGGACTTCCTGGGAGTCTATTTCCTTTTCCAGATTGGGGAAGTTCTCCTTCATTGTTGGTTCGAATAAGTTTTCAATTTGTTGCTCCTCCTCTTCTGCTCCTGGCACACCTATAATTCGGGTGTTGGAACGTTTAAAGATGTCCTGGAGGTTGCTAAGTCTCTTCTCATGTTCTTGAATTCTTGTTTCTTTATTCTTTTCTGGTTGAATGTTTTTTCCTTCCTTCTGGTCGACACTGTTAATTAGAGTCCCAGGTTCCTTCCCATCACTATTGGTTCCCTGTACATTTTTCTTTTTTTTTAATTTTTTTATTGATTATGCTGTTACAGTTGTTCTATTCCCCCTTTCATTCCCCTCCACCCTACCCCCCCATCCCCACCATTACCCCCCTTTAGTTTATGACCATGTGCCTCAAGTCCTTTAGATTCTATATTTCCCATGCTATTCTTGCCCGCCCTTCTATTTTCTATCTACTGTCTATGCTACTTATTTTCTGTACCTTCTCCCCCTTCTCCTCCTCGCACTCCCCTGTTGCCAACCCCCCCTGAGATCTTCATTTCTATGTTTCCACTCCTGATCTAGCTGTCCTTTTAGTTTGCTTTTGTTTTAGGTGTGGTTGTTAATAACTGAGTTTGTTGTCCTTTCACTGTTCATGTTTCTTTAACTTCTTTTTCTTAGATAAGTCCCTTTAACATTTCATATAATAAGGGCTTGGTGATGATGAACTCCTTGAATTTGATCTTATCTGAGAAGCACCTTATCTGTCCTTCCATTCTAAATGAAAGTTTTGCTGGATAGAGCAATCTTGGTTGTAGGTCTTTGGATTTCATGACTTGGAATACCTCTTTCCAGCCCCTTCTTGCCTGTAAGGTCTCTTTTGAGAAGTCCACTGACAGTCTGATGGGGACTCCTTTGGAGGTGACTGTCCCCTTAGCTCTTGCTGCTTCTAGGATTCTCTCCTTCATTTTAATTTTGGCTAATATAATTATGATGTGCCTTGGTGTGTTCCTTCTTGGGTCCAACTTCTTTGGTACTCTCTGAGCTTCCTGGATTTCCTGGAAGTCTATTTCCTTTGCCAGATTGGGGCAATTCTCCTTTATTATTTGTTCAAATAAGTTTTCCATTGGTGGCTGTGCCTTTCCCCCTTCTGGTACCCCTATAATTCGGATGTTGGAGCGTTTAAAGATGTCCTGGAGGTTCCTAAGACTCTCCTCATTTCTTTGAATTCTTGCTTCTTGACTCTTTTCTGTTTGGCCATTATTTGCTTTCTTCTGGTCCACTCCATTGATTTGAGACCCAGTTTCCTTTTCATTGCTATTGGTGTCCTGTGCAATTCCATTTATTTCAATTAGTTTCGCCTTCATATATTTGTCTAATTTGTCGGCTATAATCAACCAGTTCTGTGAGGATCCTGATCACCAGTGTTTTAAACTGTGCGTCTGAGAGTTTTGCTATTTCTTCATCGCTTAGATCTATAGGCTCTGGGGCTTTGAGATCTTCTTGCGACATTTTTGGTCTGTTCGCGCCCTTTAAGTGTGAGAAGCGGCGCCTTGGACTCCCAGGTCGCTGGGTTGTGACCCTGTATGTGGGGGCGTGGTCAGAGCAGGGAAATGGCGACCCCCTCTGCTGTTTCTCACAGCTGGGTGAGGATTAGCGTCTTAGGTGGTTCACCTGGGCCGGGCCACTCAGAGTCGCTGGGTTATGAGGCTGTATGTGGAGGTGGGGTCAGAGCAGGGAAATGGCGGCGCCCTCCACTGCCGCTTGCCGCGGGGACCCGCCCGGCCCCGGTCCAACCGCCCACTCCCTCGCTTGTCCACCCGCGCACAAATGCGAGACCACAGTCAACACGCAGTCCCGCTTCCCCGCTGTCTCCCCCGCGGTCGCTCGCCTGGTCGCTCGCTCGGTCGCTCACTAGGTCCAACCCTGCGCCTGGATTCTGCATGCCTGAGTCCGTCTGATCGAGTCCTCCTGTGCAACCCCGTTCACCAGCCGCTGGTTTCGCCCATTACCGGTCAGGCTGAAGAATTTGTTGTTAATGGACTTCCGAAAAGTTCAATTTTCCGTGTTCTGACTGTGTTTTCTGTTGCTAATATTTAGTTGTCTCTAAACTCGGTTGTGTGAGAAGGCACGGCACATCCACCTATGCCTCCATCTTGGCGGAAGTCTGTACATTTCTCTTTATTGCACTTTGCATTGCCTTCATTTTTTCATCTAATTTGCAACCAAATTTAACCAATCCTGTGAGCATCCGGATTACCAGTGTTTTGAACTGTGCATCTGATAGGTTGACTAGCTCTTTGTCACTTAGTTGTATTTGTTCTGGAACTTTGATTGGGCCATTTTTTTGTCTGGGTGCCTGCTTTGTACAAGGGGTGGAGCCTTAGGTGTTCACCATGGCGGGATCAGCCTCATGGCTGCGTTGTGACGCTATGTGTGGGGGAAGGATCCCAGAGGGAAAAATGGTGTTTGCTCTGCTCTCTGCTGGATGTCAGCTACTTTCTCCGCTACCGACAAGCAGAAAAGGGGGCTTTTTGGTGCTGGTCCCGGGTGGGTGGGCTCGTGTACATTCTAGGACCCTGTGAGTCTCTCCAATGAACTCTCCTGTGAGTCGGGGAGTTTCTCCTGCTGGGGCCTCAACCTCCACAGGCGGTTTGAGGCTTTATTTCCCTCTCTGGGGGACCCAGGGTTGCAAGGTCTGTGTTGCTCCCCAGGTGTTCCTCCTGGTTTATCTGCATGTGAATGTGGGGCCACCTGCTCTACCAGCGGCTGCTTTGCCCACCCTGGTCCTCCACCACGGCTTGGCTGGGATCCTCTCTGTCCCACTGGCCTTCCTACTCAGCCCCTCCCACCTGTCTGGATGGACGTTTCTTCTTTAACTCCTTGGTTGTTGGACATCCATGCAGTTCGATTTTCTGTCAGTTGTGGTTGTTTTTGTTTTTAAATTGCTGTTCTCCTTCTTTTGGTCATGGGAGGAGACACAGTGTGTCTACCTACACCTCCATCTTGGCAGGAAGTCCAAACTCTGTCATCACCTTTTTAGTGAAGCCTTCCCTCACCTTTCTAGTTACATCACAGTTCCCCTGCCTCTAGCCCTGCAGACACTCTCCCGATTCATTTTTCTACACCACTCATCATCACCTGACATAATAGTTTAATTAATTATGTTACTCGTGGCTTTAATTAAGTGTTTTAAAGATTACCTTCTATTTCTCTATAATGTGAGTCCATAAGGGAACAGGTGTTCACGCATTTTGTTCTTGATTTCTCTCCTATTTCTAGAACTGAGCCTTCAACGTATGTGATCCTTGCTAAGTGTTGAATGAATGACTCATGAGTGTTTGCAGATATAGACCTCCTAGCTCTGTGCTTGGAAAGCCCCATGGGCTGGAGGAGAAGCTTTAGCACCAGCACCACCAGGTACAGACAGCCCCCTGCCCCCACCACTCTCCACGGTGTGTGACTGTTCTGAAAACACAAATGTAGCTGCAGCATCAGAACCACCACAACAAAAAATGATCAGATTTACCCTCAGAGTTGAGGCTGCTCCTCCTGGGACATGAGACTCTGTGATGCTCCCTGTGAGGAGGGGAGAGTCCTCAGCTCAGCTGTAGCCTCAGCTCCTCAGGGCCCAGGACCCTCCCAGCCCTGCCCCTTCCCTACCCCTACTCAGGCTCCCAACTGTCTGCTGAGGGACCTGCATCCATGGGCTGGGCCCCCAGAGCACAGGGAGCTAACCTGGAAGGAAGACCCCAGAGTCCCTCTCCTGGCCCAGCAGGGTGTAGTTGATGGAGCAGGACTTGTCCTCACAGATGTGTCACTGATGATCACAGGCATGGTGACCCTGTAGAGGTCGTCTGTGTCCTTGGTGTCAGCCTTCAGGGTGGGCATGAGCTTGCCATAGGGCTTCCCCACACTGGACATGGCTCTGGGTACCAGTCTCTGGAGGTGCACTCTGGCTGGACATCTCCATCCTTGTGGCCCTTCATTTTAGTGAGGGGCTTGAACCCCAGGCCTATGACAGACAAATATGTGTACAATGTCTAATCCTAACCCATGTTACCCACAAAGACCCTTGGAGATCTCTGAGCAGCACCAGGGGTGCATTTTGTGGGGTTCCATCTTCTCCCCTGCTCATGGCCCCCACTGAGCTCACTGTGCTTCTGAAGACTCGATGCCCAAAGCTCCCCAGGCAAACCCACTCATTCTGTCCTCGGGCAGGAGGAAGCCACCCTGCCTGGGTAGATGGGATCCTAGACAAACATCTGCTCGTCTGTGGGGTGCCCGAAGTGCAGAGAGAAACTATCCCCAAGGGTCACACAGTCAAAAAGCCACCAAAGAGAAATGATGGACCTGCTGCCATCAGGTACACAGTGGCCTCATCTCAGAATGTGGCTGGTTGGAAATGACAGTGGTGTATGGCGTTGTTGTGGACTGTGACATAGTGAATGACCAGGGCCACCCTCCCCTTGCTCACAAAGGTTGTTCTTCCTCAGCACTGTCTCAGCTGGACACTGTAGTTAACGCACGAGCAAGGGCCCCACCGGCAGTGACTCCACTCCTGGGACCCTGTCCCCATGTCATTCCCTTCACCTGCCTTGTTCCCCCACATGTCCATGCAAGAATGACCCCAGATGTTCCCAGCCTGGAAGGTCTCAGATCTTCTGACAGGAGCAAGTAGGTCCGCTTGGGTCCCACCACAGCAGAGAACTCAGCTCTGCCACCAATCAGAATCAGCCATACAAACTCGTCCTTGGATCACCCCCAAAATAAAAGCAAACATACAGAAGAGAAATACCAGCCAGCAGAAACCTTAAATACAGTCTGGCAAGAGCCACACTGGATTCTGACCCAGAGAATTGTGAGATAATGAATTTGTATTGTATTAGGTCATGAAGTTTATACTATTACAGCAAAAAGAGAAAATTAATTCAGTAAGAAGTGAGTAAAAATGTGACAAGGAGCTAAACTGTGAACCTGGTGAGTTAACCATGGGGTTAGATCTCAAAAGAGCTCTGTTGAAGTGGGAACATTATTGAAAAATTTATATTAAAAATGTAACATGACACCCACATGGGCCAGGGATTCATCATGAACAGGCACAGTAATGATGATAATGAGGAAGAACGGTCTTTCCTCAGGAACCACAGGTGACAGAAACCTCAGGAACCTCAGTGGGTGATCAGTGGTGGGTGTCCCTGGTCTGGACATGGATCCCACCGTGTGAGAAAAATTCCACTGACGCCCACCTGCCCCTTCCTCCCACAGTCCTGTTCACAGAGGCCCTTCAGGTGTGAGGTAGGAGGTTGGGTCTGCTCTGTGCTCACAGGTCACAGGCTGGTTTAGAAGGGAGTCACTGGTCCCTTCTCAGCCCTGTGTGATGGGGTCACTGTGAATTCATCCTCTGGACCACAGTGTCCTGCAGAGCCAGTCAGTGAAGGGGTGGACCATGGCTCTGACAGTTGACCTACAAAGATCCAAGTGGGGAGTGGCCTTCACAGTCACCTGCAGTGACCTTTACCCTTGGTGCCCTGGGAGGGACCCTCAGCGCTGCCCTTGACCCTGCCCAACAGGACAATCAGCTGCAAAGGGACAGATGAGAGGGAGGGGGAGGGTATGAACATCATTCAGCACTAAAATCTGAGTGAATTATGTATGTCACTTAACGGCCGCTGCTTCAGTTTCCACACTCTCATAATGAGGCTACCTCACGGGGATTTTGAGAATGAGTGAGAGTCACCTGAACCTGTTAACACAGCACCCAGTACATGTGAAGTTACCTATAAATGTCAGCTCTGGTTGTTTGAAGCCAAATGAGTCACCTTTGGAAAGTGAACTCACTTTCTGCCCCGTGGTCTCCTTGTCTCTCAAGTGAAAAAATTGAATGAGTGTTAGTGAAGTCCCTCACTCTGTGTGTTTGTAGTGATTTCCTGTTGAGATATTTTGCGGGTCAGGAGGCCCTCAGGTCCAGGCTGGGCAGCGAGAAGCAGAGACGTTTCTTCAGCCTGAGGGTCCCCATTTCCTTCACCTGAGCCCGGGGACACTGGGGTCTCCAGGGAAGAGTCAGACCCTCGGTCAGGCACAAGGGACCTCCCCACTGCTTTCTGCGCTGGGCAAATGGTCAAGGGTGTGGGGTCCAATGTTGAAATCCCGAAAACAGGCCTCAGGGGCCCAGAGAAGGAGGTGTGTGGGAAGGTGAAGATGTGAGACCCATCGATGGCGTTGTAGAACGAGACCTCCCCCAGCTCATAGTCCAGGAAAACCCCCACCCTCGCGGGAGGGCTCACATTGGTCAGTGTCATCTGCGGGCCCATGAGAGCACAGTAGTTTCTCCCAAGATTCAGTTTCACTGTCCAGAATCCATTATCGGGGGCCATTATAAACTTCCCTTTTTTCGTCACGTTCTCCCTACAAACCCCAACACACCACTGTGCCCTGTCCCCCACGTCCACCTCCCAGAAATGTCTCCCTGATGTGAAGCTCTCACAGCCCAGCACACAGAACTCCTGGTCAAATCTCTCAGGGTTTTCTGGCAGGTTCTGCCATGGGTCTGCCCTCTGCAGTCTCCTCTGGTCCGCAGAAACATGAAGGGCGGGGTGCGCCGTGTCTGGATCCAGAAACACATTCCCTGCAGGGGGTTCAGAGGGCGTGGGGTCAGCCGTGGTGTCCAAAAATCAGAGCCTCAGCCTTCAAGACCTGGGTCTGGGCAGGAGGCCAGGCCCACAGTCTGGGGTCCAGGGCCCACCCTGGATGTGACCTTCAACCATTAGGGCCAAAGAATCTGCAGGGGTCTTGTGACTGGTAGGAAGAGGTGGGGTGAGGAGGGTTGGGTTCTCAATTTCCTGTCTCCTGCTTTGTCCCCAAAATGTCCCTGCCCCCCTGTGCTTTGCAGTCACATGAATTGAAGTGTCAGCCCTGGCTCTGCCCCCTGAGCTGGGTGACGTCCTTCTCTGCACAGTCTCTCTTTCCACAGACACCAGCTACAGAATCTCTCGAGTTCAATTCCCTGTCTGTGAATGGGGGTAAAACACTAATCTCTGTGGTGGAATAAGACAAGTGAGTGGTACATTGAGCCCCAGGCCAGGCAGAGGAAGTGCCTGGTGTGACGTCAGACACCACGTCCCTTCTGTGCTCGGGGCCAGGCGGGGGCTCCAAAAGCTCTGGGGTCCCCTCCCCCTGCCCCACCCCCTCTGGCCCAGGAGTCAGTCCTCCATGGACAGCGTCCCTGGGCCCCTGGACTCTGGCTACTGTTGGGTTTGGCCAAGGTGAGGCGCGGGCTGAACACGGGCAGGAGGGAGGAGAGGAGGCTCAGCGCTGACCCCCGTCCCCCAGGGAGATGCCCCGCCACAGCACCTCCTCCCAGGGGCCCCTCCCTGAGCCCAGCTGCCTCCTCCAGGCCCCGGTGAGGCCTCCCTGTCCCTGTGCCTTGGGCCCAGGGGTGGTCACAGCTCCCACTGCTGTGAGCCCTGGGGGATCAGGTGTCCTTGATGTTTTCCTTTAACAACACCCCACCTGTCACTGTGAACACATCCAACCCCATCTCTGTGTCCCGGATTTCTTTCCTCCCCGTGCAGTGACCTTTGTCCCCCTTCACTGTCCTAGCCCAGCTCACCAAATCCTCTAGGTGACGATTGTCCCTGTTCCTTACACATGGCCATGAACACTTTTGTCAGTAACAACCAGAGTGACAGGAGCACTGAGGTCACCTCCACACTGGTGATCGTGTCGATTATAAAGGATCACCTGTCACAGGACCACCGGGAGGTGTGTCTGGTGCTGCCGCATTCTGTGTCCCTGTTCCTGTCAGTCATTGGTGCCCGAGTTACAGTGTGAAAAAGTGCTGTGAGGGGTGTGTAGTCAGTGGATAATCTGAGCAGGTTGCGGGGTCCTCTGTTCAGCTCTGACCCTGGACCCCTGTCAGTGAATCACTTTATAATACAGGCTAGGAGTTGCCAATGTTGCTTTTAGTCCTTAAGACACCTTCTCCCCTTGGTCATTACTGTCAGACAAACACCTTCCAACAGGCCGTGTGTTTCCTGTGGGTGTTCTGACCAACACACAGTCATCACCTCACTCAGTCTTTGTCCCAACCCTCACAGAGCAGGAGTGACTGAGGAACACGCCATAACTGGAGGACACACAGTGGCAGGAGAGGAGGAGCTTGGTCAGGTCACCCCTCCCTCTCCCTGCAGCCCCATCCCTCTTGCCTCTTCCTCCCACAGAGACCTGTGGACCCCAGGACAGTCCCTGTCCCTGGTCCCTGGGCTCTGGGCAGCAAGTGAGCACATCTTTGAGACCACAATTTCAGGCCCCTCTCCCCCCGCCCGCAGACTCTCGCAGTCAGGATGTAGAGAGGGAAGAGGGAGCAGGGGCCCTTGGGGGTTGTCCTGGAAACACAGGGGGACCCACTCACCAGGCTGGAAGAAGGCCATTTTCAAGTCTGGAAGGAAGGAGACACAGACAAGGAAAGGTCATTCTTTCTGTCCTCCCCCACCCACTGTCCTCACTGCGCCCCTTCTCTCTCCTCTCCTCAGTCTCCTCCAATGTCCACTCTCCTCGTCTACAGCTCTGCGGACCAGGCTGAAACCTCCCCCAGTGCTGGGATCCCCTCCATAACCCTGGGGCTGTGGGGAGAAGACCAGGCTGTTCTGTGTGTGCGTGTGTGTGTGTGTGTCAGCAGGGTGAGGGGACACTGCATCTGGAAGGTCCTCTCTGAGTGTCCACAAAGGAGGGGGCGGTTCAGCCACAGAAAATGAGCCTCTGAGCTGGATGTGGTTACTTCTCACCCAGCAGGGAAATGGTTTAATTACTTCACACACAGGAGCCAGGAAACCAGAGAGCATCAGACTCACTCACCTGCATAGGCCTGAGACCGGTCCTCACCTGCAATGGAGACAGAGTGTCACCTGAACTGTCATTTCTGAGTTGGTTCCTTTCTCTCCCTTGTGCCCCCCTGTCATCTTCCTGTGTGCCCCCCACCCTCCCCACCTCTCCCTCTGCCCTTTCCCTCCCCCAATCCCCCTCCTCTTTCCATCAGCTGCAGCTCAGCACCCCCAGGCGCCCTGCACGGGCTGTCCCAGGGTCACCGCACAGCCGTCCTGTCCCTGTCTGTGCAGCAGTCACCTCACAGCCCCGCTGAGGCTTCTGAGTTCCAGTTGCCCCCTGTCAGCCATGGTCGGGAGTAGTGAATAAAAATCACAGAAACCAACAATTCATAGTGGGGAGGAAAGGGGCTGAAATGTCCGAGCAGAGAGGCTGGGATGCGGGCCGGGCACTCACGTGGTAGGTATGGGATCATTCTCCACCCTGCAGGGAACAAGGTGAGGGGTCAGTGACTCCTGTAATGCAGGGACCCCAGGACCTGTGGGCCGGGGATCGCCACTTACTGAGTTCGTCCTGCAGCTTCTCTGGAAATGAACAGAAAGAGAAAGTCTTTTAAAGGGGATGGAATAGAGGACGTGTGTGGTGGGTGGGGGCTGTGGTGGGGAGGTGGTGACCACCTTGCAGCAGGGCCTCACCTTTCATGCTTCTCTCCAGCTGCTTCTTGGCCTGCGCTGCTTCTTTCTCCCACTGGGCGGCTTCTTTCTCGGCCTGAGCTGCTTCTTTCTCGGCCTGAGCTGCTTCTTTCTCGGCCTGAGCTGCTTCTTTCTCGGCCTGAGCTGCTTCTTTCTCGGCCTGAGCTGCTTCTTTCTCCCACTGGGCTGCTTCTTTCTCGGCCTGAGCTGCTGCTTTCTCGGCCTCAGCTGCTTCCTTCTGCACCTGCGCTGCTTCCTTCTCTGCGCGCTCCCGCTCCTTCTCCTTGGACAGAACCTGGACCTTCTTGTGCTGTTGCCACAGGCAGCAACCCGCTCCCACCAGAAGCAAGAACGGAATAGCCAGGGTCACCCAGAAGGCCAGCTCACAGTGCTGCACACTCTGGAAAAAGGAGCCTGTGAAGGGTTAGCCTCAGCCAATGGCCAAGTTGAATCTCAAGGTATGTGGGCACTGAAAATAATCGTTCTTTCCCCAAAGTGCCCAGAACTTTCACTGGCACACAACACCATTGTCTCAAAGTAACTGCCTCTCACATGGAAATATTTTGAATATACAAAATGGTACACACAAAGTCACTGAAATCTCTCCACTCCTCCTCCACCTGTCATTTGTTATCTTCTTCTGAGTCATTGTAACCTGGGGAATAAGAATGTGAACTTTGGGACTGGACGACCTGGGGGTTAATTCTGGGACTTCCCCCTACCAGCTCCATGACCTTGAACTAATGACTTAAGCATCTGTTCCCAGTGTCCTGATTGGTAAGAGATTAAATTAATGGTTACACAGTGCCTGACACATAGTGAGTGCCACACAAGTGTTCCTTATATGTAAAAACATTACTATATTTTTATTTTATCTTGTTTATGGTGAAAATAGAACTCTGCACTGGTGGGCCCACCTGTGGTTCTCTCTGCTCACCTGGGTCTCGGCGACCTTCCCACCTCAGCACAGGGAGCAGGTCTGCGTCTGCTTTCACAGGGCAGCGCCCACTGCACACACGGCCCAGCGGGGGCCTTGCACCGTCTCTGACACTGTGTTGTTACAGTTAATGGTGCAGGAAACAACCTTTTACACGGGTCATTTCACACAAATACAAGCTGATCTGCCAGACTCCAGAAGCTGGAGTTTGGACCAATAATTAAGTATGTTGAATAACAAATGCTTTATCACCCCTACAGAGTTGTGAAAATATATTCCAAAATATAGCAAATAATTGCAATGTGCATCTAAGAGTGACTGTCTCCCCACAATCCGCCATCACCGGCCCTGTTTTCTGTGTTGTAGCCAGTCTCACGGTGAGATTCTGCACCCTCTCCAGAGCCATTTCCTTCTCTGAACTGATGATTCATCCTCTTTGCTCATTTCTCTACTGGGTTGTTTTATGTTTTAAGGAGATCACCCCTTTTTTTAAGATTTGACTTGTGCATAGTTTTCTCCTTTTCTCATGTCTTTGCTCATCTAGACCATTCATCCCCAGCCCCTATTACCTGGCACTGTGTGTGGCACCCAGGAAGTGCCCAGAAGGTGTCTGAGACACAAACAGCTTCATGGGGAAGGAGCAGCAGGTCCCTGCTCTGGGCCTTCTGTTCCCTGCATAGACCCAGGTCAGCAGCAGACAACCCCGCCCTCCCACAGCACACACCAGGGAGCCCAGAGCAGTGGGCAGGGCACTCACCTGGGATGGAAACCATGGCTGACCTTTCCTGGCCCAGCAGGGGGTTTCTGATGACACAGGAGACCCCCTCCCCAGAGCTGCCTCCCAGGATCACAGAGGCTGAGGCTGCATAAAGACCCTGGGGGTCTGCAGCTTCAGGCTCTGCCTCAGCAGACCAGCTCTGCTCCCTGGCTTCCCTCCACTGGATTTGGGGCTGCGGGTACCAGCCAGCAGGCAAGCACTGCAGATGGATCCCTCCAGCCTCATAACCCTTCATTTCAATGTGGGCATCAGAGCCCAGTGCCTGGGAGGGAAAGCGAGCCTGACTCATGGGGAGCCCTGTGCACTGGTGAGGGTCTCCACAGCAGGGAGGGGCACACCACCCACGGTGAGTGCAGCAGGGGTTAGTTCATCAGGAGCTGTTCCCAGAGTGAGCTGTGCAGGAGAGACTGACCCGAGGTGTGACCACTGCCAGACCCTCGTACAGGATCCAGGGATCTCTGGGCCAGAGCAGAGGCTGCTTCCCCTAAATCCCTTAGAGTCTGCTGGACACTCCCCTCCCCCACACCCCAGCCGTGCTGCTTCCAGGAACAGACCGTCACCCCACCCTGGGCAAGTGTGGAGGTGGGTCCTGCTTATCTGAAGCGGCTCACACCCCGGCACCCTTATCCTGCCCTCCTGCCCTGTGAGCCTCGGCCCTGCCCTGTGGGGGGAAGATATGCACTTGTCTTGCTGTCACCAAGCTGTGCATTGCATGTAGTCCCCTCAGTAAAGTCTTGCTGTAATTAGTGCTACTGTTGTCAGCAACCTGTTTGGGCCTCTCCACCCAGCGAAGTTGCTGTGATGTGTTTGTAAAAAGGAGCCGACTTTTTCAAAGAACAGAGCAGACCCAGGGCCTGGAACAGCTGAGCTGTTACTAACTGTTCCTAGACCTCAACACCCAAGGGGCAGGGGTGGGGGGTCGCCTGTTAAAGACCTGAGAGAACAGATTCTCTCTGGGAGGGATTTCCTAAGAGGAGCTGTGGTCTCCAGGAAGGGACAGTGTCTGGCTCAGGAGGCCCTGCAGGGACAAAGCCAAGACCCCCCCCTTCCATCACCTGCTGGGCTCCCAAAGCATCATCCAAACAGAAGCCACATGGAGAAAGTGGAGTGCAGCCCTGACACCTGGACATGAGCACTTTCATGGGCAGCACCTCAGACAAGGTGCTTTGTCCCTGGGACGGGTCAGGACAAGGTCAATACCACTCAGCAGTCGGGTCTGCACACAGAGGAAGCATGAACGGTGTGCAGACCACAGCAGTGACCAACCTCCCCCGTCCTGCCTGTGAGTGACCAATGACACACCTGCACCTTCCTGACAGCATCCAACCCAGAGCAAAGCCCAGACTCCACATCCCCCTAATCCTCTAACTGCCCAAAGGACACACCAACTCCTCCCTGACACCCTGTCTCTGAGACACCCCGGTTTCCTCACCTGTGCGGCCCCCTCACTGCCTCAGGGATGGACACACCCTGTTCAACTGCACTTGTGTCCCTGGGGCCTCGGGTTGGAGAAAGAGGCACCACGGGTGTAGTCCCTGCAGCACAGCCCCCTGCACCCACAGCAGCGGGCACCTGGGGCCCATGGCCACTGTCTGGGACACACTGAACCCAGACACCTGTGTGCCTCGCACTGCGATGGTTGGGGGTCTCCTCCTCCTTCCCGCCCCTGACCTCCACTTCCCTGCTGAGACCTGGGGGGCAGCATGAGGGACTCTACTGGATGCAGGACCAGCCCTTCCTGGGGCACAACCTGGGTCTGTCTCGGGCCTCAGAGGAGCAGGGAGGGAGGAAGGGGCGGCAGGTGCTGGTGAGGAGCCAGAGTGCTCTCAGGTGGGCTTGGAGCCTCTGCCCTTGACCCCACAGGAAAGGAGCACAGATCACACCTGACTCACCTGCAACCTCCAGCTGCACCTGGGCATTTTCAAAGAAATCTCCATCTTGGAAATAACAGAGGTAGGTTCCTCTGTCAGAGGCTCTGACATCTCGAATCTGCAGAGCAGCCTTCCCCGCAGTGATGTCCTCCCTTAAAATCGAAGTTCTCCCTCCATACTCTGCTGCGGGCGTGTCCTCCTGCCCGTGTGCATACGTGTGCACTACCTGCCTGGGGCTGGATCGCACCCACATCAGCTCCATGTGCTCAGCGCTCATGTTCGGGGACAGGTGACAGGGCAGCTCAGCGTCTTCACCCACCATGGCCAGGATGGGCTCCCGGGGTCCAACCACAGCAAACTGAGCTGCTCATCAGAAGGGGAGGGACTCTGTCAGAGGGGGCTGGGAGCAGAGGACCAGGGGTTTACCCAGCAGGGAGGGCGAGGTGAGACACCTAGACAGGAACTGGGTCCTAACACAGGAATGGTCTGGATGAGACTTGCAGGGATGGGGGGAGTCCAGGGTTCTGACTGGGCCCAAAGGTAAAGGCTTCAGATGCACAAACACAGAGCAGGTCCTACCTGAGCAGGGGCTGAGCAGCTGGACCAGGGCCAGGCAGACAGGGAGGGCAGGCAGAGGGAGGACCATGGTTACCTGCTGTGCAGACAGAGATGCCAGCAGGAAGTGGGTAGCAATGACGACCTGGAAGAAGGTGGAGAATTCCACATGGAGGCCTGGCCTCTGCAGAGCCGACCAGGGGTACCACCCAGACCCTTGGTGACTGGAGAGTCTCTACTGCAAATGACCGCTGGGCAGTCTCTTCACCTTGGATCCAACATAGACATCACTCATGAAACACGGAACCGTATCGCACATTCCTTAACTCTGTCCATCAGGGAGCACGGGGCCCTCGTGTGTGAACATGGCCAGAATCCCTGCTCGTGCCCACACTTCTCTGCCACAACCAGGTGGGTGCCCCCAGCATCACCCTCTGAGGATCACAGGACCCTCTGCTCCTGTGCCCCCTCCCAATACTGCCCCCTGCAGCCTGTGCTTCACACAGCACCAGCACCACCCTACACTCACCTCCCTTCCCTCCTGGCCACTTCCATTCAGCTCAGTACTGGGGGTGCAGCCCGCAGTCGGACCGGACAAGGAAACCAACGGCATACAAACCAGAGAGGTGGAGGGTAACCTCTCACTACATGCAGATCACGTGACACAATGTATGGAAAAGCCTGAGGACTCCACCAAAGAGATAGACTACTAGAACTACTAAGTGAACTCCATAATGTTGCAGGACACAAAACCTGACACCTGTTGCATTTCTATCAGCAACACTGAATAATCAGAAGGAAAAGAATCATACATTGCACTTACCACTTCATCAAAAAGCATAACATGTGTAGGAATAAATTCAACCAAAGAGTTGAAAAAGCTCTACCCTGAAAATGATTAGACAAGGAAGAAAGAAAGTGACAAGAGTACAAGTTAATGAAAGGATACACTGTGCTCCTGGGTTGGAAGGATTGATATTGTAACTTTATGAGAGAGAGAGAGAGAGAGAGAGAGAGAGAGAGAGAGAGAGCTCTAGTACTTGCCTCTCCTAGACTTCCCAACCAACATGTAATAATTGAAGCAGCAAACTAGGTTTGTGTTCTGAAGAGGAATCAAAGGCACCACCTGTCCCTGTATGGGGTGATGCCCCAACCCACTGAGCCACACAGGCCAGGGTTTACCATCTAAATATTAAGACACAACCTGACAGCCCACCAGGCCACGCCTTCACCATCGGTTCTGTAAGTGATGACCTGCCAACTGTAGGGTTGGTCAAGGGGTTCACTCAGTTTTAAGTAAAAATAGAAACATTTTCATTTTCACCAGTAATTGACTGAACAACATATTCACCAAACAAACAAACGTTTTGGCCAACACAGCACCATGTGACTGCAGATAAACAGCTGGTTTGCTTAAGAATTCTAGGCACTAACGTCAGAAGGAGCTCAGTCCACCCTCAGACACTCAGCTCCGGGGGATTTGCTGACCTCAACCAGTCACCTGAACAGACTGTGTTGCCTGCCCCTTGTCCCCTTGACACAGAACTCTCAACACTGTCCTTTCTGTGTCTTCGTTGTGTATTTTTTCTTCCTTCCCCCCCCCTTACAAAACCCTTGCCCGTGTCCAGTTGTTCAAATGGTCTTTGAGCTGAGACCCCCCCATCATCTCGAGCTGCAGGCCCTTGAATGGAAGGACTTTCCTTCCAGCAGGCAGCCATCCTGGGCTTGGTGCCAAGGTCTCTTCTCCCAGAGACGCACAGGAGAGACAATGAGGGGCCTTGCTCCTCTCTGTCCACAGGAGGTTCCGAGGGACGGGCAGGTGTCCAGCTCCCTGGTTCCCGTTGTGTCCCTCCCACAGGTTTCCCAGTGCAGACCTTACCTGCCCTGCTTCACGCTCCCCCTGTGTCCCACCTGCAGGCTCACAGCACCACACCCCTTCTGTGGCTGGGGGACCACAGGACCCCCAGCTTCTCAGCCTCTCTCCCAAGGGGCCCCGGGTCCCCGGCTCTCACCAGCTCCCTGGATTAACCTTCACTCTCCAGTGGAAAATCCCAAAGCAATGGCACTCAAAAGTTCTCCACTAGAGTTGAGTCTGTGACCTGGAAGAAAGTGTGGGGACGAATAAAGCATGTTCACCAAGGGGAACAGAGCTGAGCCCTTCTGTCCAAGCCCTTGTGTTCTTATTGGCTCGGAGCCTGGGTCTCATCAGTTGCTGGGCAGAAACCAGCGGGCAAAGTTGGCATGAACTGGGACCCCTTGTAGGATGGGGCGGTGCAGCCCAGCCCCAGACCTGACTCCCACCCTGTGCGTCTCTGTCTATGGTCACCTGTGTGAATCCCTCCTGGGTGTGGGTGTGTGTGTGAGCAGGATCTCACTATACACACCTGTTTTATGTTATTCGTATCACAATGTGTTTAGCAGAGGAACAAGGACAAATTAGCACATGACAATGTGTGAGGAGAGGAAGGGGTGCAGGAAGTAAATGGTCACTGTGGACCTTTGCTAATGTCTTTGACAGCAGAGCCCATTGAAGGTGTGACAGGGAGGGCGCAGACCCCCGCCACCTGTCCTGGCTCCTGGGACACTCAGGTCTCAGGTCCTTTCCCAGCAGCACTCTTCCCAGTTCCCACGGGCGGTGCTGTCAGGGGACGATGGGCAGGTTCCGCGTTTCTCAGAGAAGTTCATGTGGGGCGATGCTGAGAAGGCCCACTCACCTCTGTGCCGCATCTGAGCTGCACGTGGGTTTTCAGCTGTGCTCACTCCTCTCCTGCAGGGTCTGTGTCCTCTGAGGCTGGACAGGAGAGGCTGTGTCTGTTAGGGGACTTTGGGGCCAGCAGGGTCTACCTGTGGTCTGGGGCCTCCAGAGACACTGTGTTTAGGTCTCGAGGTGGTGAGTCGAGCTCCCAGGGCCTGAGAGTGAAGGTGGCTGATGGACTGTGATGCCCTCCATCGGTGTGAATGTAGGTTCTGGGGTGGAGGTGGCTGCTCCCTGTGCCACGTCTGTTCCCTGCTTCTTCTTAGTGAACAAACCCTGTTTTGGGGGGACGGGTACTGCATGTTCCCACCCTCCTTGCTGATGGGAGAGGCTGAGGGACTGAGTTTGAGCTGCTGGTGGCGTGAGGTGGGAGTTGTTGGGTTGTGTTTCTCTAGAGAGATTCACACTCCTCCCACTTCCCCCTTCCTCGTGGGTGGACACCATCTCTGGAGTTGGAGCTCAGCAGCCATCTTGTCACCAAGAGGCACCCTGGGGATCGAAGCCACACACTGAGGGGGCAGAGAATGGAGACAGAAGGAGGCTGGGGTGTGGATGCCTCTCTGAGCTTCCAGACCAGCTCTGGACCACCGCCCTCTGGAGCCATCTCGCCTGAAAGGAACTTGAGCCCGTGTTTAGCTGAAGCCCCTGGTGCCTCTGGTCTCTGTTATCAGCAGCAGAACAGGCTTCTTCCCGCCCCAGCTCCTCCCTCAGCAGTGTGTCAGGGAAATTACAAAGTTCATGTAGCACAGTTGAGAGAATGTTTCCATGAACACTGAATATACCTGCTGCTCATTTTTATTATTTTCTTTTTAAAGTAATTTTCTATGCCTTTACATTGAATTCATTGGGGTGATACTGGTTTCCCAAACCATAAACCCAGTAAAACACCATCTGCACATGGCGTCATGTACCCATCACTCCAAAGTCTCTTTCTGTCCCCATTTCCGCTCCTTTCCCCACCTCTACGCACCCCACATCCCCTTTTCTCTATCACCACACTGTGTTCTGTGTCTACGTGTTAAGGCTTCAAGGGGAAGCACCTCCCCAAAAATCCTGGAAGCATCTTGTGGAGGGCAGGCCTCTTGTAGCCCCGGCCCCCCCAGGTGAGTGTTCTGGGGACCCCTGGGGATCTGTGCACCCTCTGGCGGCGTTTGAGGGGCTGCATTCAGCGAACGCTCCTGAGGGCGCTTTCAACGCACTTGCCCGTTTCACGATGGGTGATTGAGGAGCCAACCTGCCCACCGCCAAGTGTTCAGCAGTGTTTGCCCCAAAGCAGCATGTTCCCTGTGCTCCCCCCTCCCCATTCACCAGATCTCGCCCCACAGGACATTTCTCATTTCCTTGGATGAAAAAAAGTCCTCAAAGGAAATGTTTTGATCATGTGCAAGAGGCGAAAGAGGAAGGGCAGAAGCAATGAGAGCACCAGAATCAACAAATGCAAACCCTGCTTTGCGCAGTGGAAACAACGTCCCCACAGGTGAGTTGCACCAGGGGGGGACGCTTCCAAGGTGACTGAACTGAAAGGAGGAGGAATAAACACCCAGCTTTGTAGAAACACATTCCTGGTCCTTTGGGTTCCCCCCATGCGTGTTTTCTGGCTAATGCCTTCCCCTTCTTCCACTTGTATTCTTCCCAAGGTGTAGAAGGGGGAAGAGGAGGGGGTCCCCGGTGCCCCAAGAAGAGCCCGCCAATACCTGTGGCTGACGGCACCCACTTTGACTAACTGCCTCCTGTCACGTATCTGTTTCACTCCAGGGTGAACACTCGGGGGCTGGAGCAAGATAAGGATTCTGGGTTAACACAGCCCAGGCCTGCCCGAGTCTGGGGAGTCACATCCTCCAGGGGAGATGGCCCCACCTTTCCCCACCAGTCCATACAAACCCCCTCACCTCAGCCCACCCACTGTGGACGTCGGGCACAAAGGGCCCGATGCTCTGGCTGCCCTCTGGGCCCCAGGACAGTCCCACAGCCCTGTTCTCATGTCACTGCTCTGTCACAGTGGAGCTGATTTGCATGGAGCAGATTCCTTCCCTGCCCCCCAATCTGGGGATCACTGTTGCTGTTGAACTGGCCGGGACCATTGGCTTAGCACAGGAAGCTGGGGAAAGGCACGTGGTTGACTCAGAGGTTAAATAGCCCACTCCGGGGCCCCACAGTCCAGAGGAGTGAGACTGTACATCAACTCTCCCTGCCTGTTGACAGGCTGGGATGACAGGCGAGTCCCTCCAAGCCAACCCCACAGGGAACAGGATGTGACTTTCCTGCCAAGGTCAGGCCGCAGCTTCAGAGTGGGGAGGAGCCCCTTTCTGAAGGCCCCCTGCTTTCTCACCCACCGACTTCATCCACCAAAATATTTGCTGCTGGAAATGGCATCAGCAGGAGGGACACATTCCAGTCTTGTCAGGAGCAGCCCAGTCACTGCGACACAGAAGCAGCCTAGTTCCCAACCTGGGAGGGAGCTTCTGCGGTGGTGGTTTCTGGCCTCTTCAGAATTGGAGCCCAAATCCAGGCCTCTGGATTTGGAACCCGGGCAGAGGCCTGTCCTGGGGCGTGATGCCCCGTGTGCACCGGGAACCGTGCCCTGGGAATTGCACACGCACACAAGCACCCCTGTTTCCCAGCTTGGGGCAGCCACGAAGCTCTGCTGGGCTTGGACCTGGCGGTGAACTGGATGAGGATCTGAGCATCCACGGGCCTCTGACCCCGGTTCACTTGTCCTGATTGCTGTTGTTTATCCTGGAAGTCTCGGGAATTTATGGTAATGCTGTGAAAATGCCAATGTATTCGGGTGCACCAATGTCAGGGACGTGACGCCTCCCTGGGTCCTCCGGTCGATGCTGCGTGTCAAGAAGCAGGGGGCGCCGAGGGGATTGGGGCGGCGGCTGTGTGTGAGCTCGATTTTCCGAACTGTGGCGGCAGAGCCGTCTGGCCGCCTGCGGAGACGTGTGGCTGGGAGAGGTGAGAAAACGGGGCTGCCCGAGCCTGAACAGACACGAGTGTACGAATCTATTCTCCCCCGCCCCGACGTCTGCTGTCCTGCAATATTCTCACAGTCTAACTGTCTCTTACAGGGGCCTGCTGTAGTTTACTGTGTTTTGTTGAACTCTGATGGGCACTCGAGTTATTTCCAGCATGTTCCTGCTATGAACAGTGCTGCCCTCTTGTGTGAGGGTTTTCAAACTTGAGAAAACGTTTGGAGAGGACAAAATGCCAGGTTACGAAATAGATACTTCCAGTAATTGGCTAGACATTGACAACACACTCTCTCAAACACAGTGTCAGTTCATACTCCCAGGAAGAAGGTGGGAGAGCGACCGATCAGCCACAGCTTTTCGGGAGGCTAGCGTCATCTCAGAGTTGAAAACAGGACCCGCCGGCGGGGGCGGGGGGGCGGCGGCTCACTGCTGCTGTGGTTGAAGTTATCAATGTGTGTGCATATTTTTTGTGTTTTTGTAGGTTGGAGACACGTTACCGCTGCCTGTTCACGAGGCCACATCCGCTTTCAGGGAGTCGCCCGGTCACGTCTTAGCAACTTACTGCAGTACTGCAGCTGAAGGAGCACACACGGCCCGCTAACACGGACCCGTGGGCGGCAGCGTGACCTTCCATGTGTCTGTCCCCTGCACGCGCACAGACCACATTGGGTCTGCAGAAGTTACGCTCGGTAATTGTGGCTGATTTAATAAAGATGGGACGTAAGTGTTTTTTGAAGGGTCTCCTGATCCCCCCACACTGACTAAGAGAAGTGTGCCCTCTCTGTGCCCCGAGGGACTCGGTTGTTCGGGGAGCACACCTGCTGTGTGTTTAGTGAGGTCCGTTCCTCAGGACAAGAT